CTAGGAACGAGCATTATTAATAAAAGTAATTAGTTCAAACTTAGAACTAATATAATTACTTTTATTAATTACTGAATGGGATATTACACCATGCCCCTTGGGTTCTTTAACAGCACTATCTTCGAGCATTGGCAAATTTGTAGGTTGGATAACTACTCCCTTAGATGTTCAAAGCTGCACTGAGAAGCCCCTCTCAATGTCTCTGCCCCTTGGGTTTTTTGGTACTTTACATTGTGTTTTGTGTAGTGTTTGTTGTATCATATATATTTGTAATTGTGTGTTTTTTTTTAATTGTGTTTACTAATCATGTCGGATTTTTCATATTGTGTTTGATAGTGTGCAATGTCGCAAGAGCATCTCACTGAGTGAAAGATTACAGAGACATGTAATGCTAGAAAACGAAATACGGTAGAATCTCTTTTTTGGTAATGAGGCTGCTTGGGCAGAAAAATAACCTCCATATAAAAAGAGGTTACTTGGTTCTATTTCAATATAACGCATATTACGCTTAAATACCATTTACACAATTCACGAGTTAGATCTAACTTGAACGTTGGAAGTTTTTACAACGTGTTTTACACGAGTTAGATCTAACTTGGATTTTTTGGTACTTTACATTGTGTTTTGTGTAGTGTTCGTTGTATCATATATATTTGTAATTGTGTTTTTTTTTAATTGTGTTTACTAATCATGTCGGATTTTTCATATTGTGTTTGATAGTGTGCAATGTCGCAAGAGCATCTCACTGAGTGAAAGATTACAGAGACATGTAATGCTAGAAAACGAAATACGGTAGAATCTCTTTTTTGGTAATGAGGCTGCTTGGGCAGAAAAATAACCTCCATATAAAAAGAGGTTACTTGGTTCTATTTCAATATAACGCATATTACGCTTAAATACCATTTACACAATTCATGAGTTAGATCTAACTTGAACGTTGGAAGTTTTTACAACGTGTTTGCCGGTCACTAAAGCTCACTGGAGCTCAAGGTAAAAAACGGTTTGTTGTTGTGTTGATCTTAATCCAGTATACATATCAAAGTTCATACAAAAGGAAAAGCGTTAGAAAGCGCTACGAGAGAACCCAATCGAAATTTAATCATATATGGTACTCGGAACAAACTACAATAAGCTATTCCAAGTAGTAACATGACAACAAAGTCGCATTAGTATATAAAAGAGCAACACAGTTTTAAAAAATACACCCATGGTTAACATGGGTTTGTTATATATCAATACAAAAATTATGTATAGCAACTTCTACAAGAGGCTTAGTATCACGCAAATGCCAAGGTAGATCTACGCTGCAGCGTGTTGCCGAAACTGTCAGATAATTTTGAAGGAGGCATGTAGCCGAGAGTGTCGGATACCTTTGAAGGAGGCCAATAACGGAACACAGATCTACCAACAATGTCTTTTATCGGCAATGGACCCCTGAAGAAGGCAAAAAGTTTCAGCTAAAAATCAGTTCCACTGGTGTTAATTCTTATATATATGCACAAGTTTGGTAACACAATTTAACAGCCATCAGAATAATAAGGTAGGGAAAAACACAAAAACAAAGGGAAAAGGAAAAATAAAAGGAAAAGGAAAAAGAGCAAAGGAATGAGTATATCTTGATGGGGGGAAAACATATGAACTTAACAAGCAACAGTTGGCGTAAAATAGAAAGTTCTTGATGTATAAACATACTGCAATTTATTGATTACCAGTTATGAGAATCAAAGCTTTTATTTCGGTTGTCTCCCAATACATACACATATCCCTCGGGTACAAGCTACAACAACAGAAAAAAAAAAAATGGAGTTTCATCATTATTTATATGAACGCACAAAACGGAAACAGCATGCCAAAAATACCAACCACTGGACCAATTTCATAGTCAAGCGGTTCCAAGATGAACTCCTCATCTTGTGGAATGCCATTCACGAACAACATCCCATCACGAACCTGAACCAGGCAACAACATTAGACCAGTTAGAGACGAGCAGACAGAAGCAAATAAAGTTACCCACCACTAGATATACGTACCTCTACATAGTCACCAGCTTTAGCTACAACTCTTTTGATAAATACATCCGATGCACTATAACCAATTTTCTGCAGAGCAAGTGGAAAAATATAATAAAATAACATATCAACTCCATGACTCAATGCGAATATCAGGGTAACTGTTCAGCCAGTAGTGAGAAGATGAAATTCATAAGCTACCTGAAGAATTGGTGGAGCCTTAAAAATCACAATGTCCAGAACTTCAGGATTCTTAAATATATAAGAAACCTGTTAAAAGCACCGAAACAAACAAGAGCGTAATGAGTTGGATCGCAAATCCTATCTTTTAGTACATGGACTTCAATGAGAACTACATCAATGTTATAGATATGCAATCCTGTGTATCTAGGCCTAAATAATTACATCCGGACATTAGCAAAAGTGAAGCCCATTTGACATGCTTCTGTTCAGGCACTTACCTGGTTGCAACCATCTTATACCTCAATAAAACAAAAAAACATGTTATTTTACATAACCTTAAAATGTACAAAGTACTTGGTTTTGGTTTTGGTTTTGGTTCTTTCACATGTCACAATTCCAAAAGGCTTCCTGAAAAGCAGTAGTTTAATAGCGTTGCCATAACCTTAAATATAGATAAGGTATTATGTAAAGAAACATAAAATAGATAGACAACAGCACCAAAATTCGATTACATTTATGTGGCAGAATCACCTTAGGATCTCATTCAGAACAAATTTGAAATGTTTTGAAAACTCTCTTCTACCACAGTAAATCACAGCTCCATGCCTTCGTTTCTTGGTATAAGGCTTTGTGCTATACTAAGAGTTTATCAATCACATATTCATCAATTGACCGTTCACCTAGAATTCTTGTTGTTCGAACTTTCCGTCCTTATATCTTAGGCAAAAGGGAATTAAATAAATAAATATAAAACAAAAAACATACCTTCTCAGCAAGTATTCGATCGCCTACATCAAGTGTTGGGTACATAGAAGCAGAGGATATGGACCTCGGCTCAGCCAAAGTCGACTTAAAAAGGACACTGACGCTAAAGGCAGTTAATGCAGCCTTAGCATCTTCAGAGCTGAAACGCATATTCATCAATTTCATTAGCCAACTGTTACTGCCACTTCCATCCATACTCTCCGGCAAAACATTCACACTGATACTACTGCTACCATCCTTGGCCATGGCAAAGGCCTTAGGACCCTTACTCTTATCACCACCAACACTAGCATTCGCAGTCTTAACTTTTACTTTATGGTTGCTGCTGACAGTGGTGCTGGCGGTGGTAGAAGCAGTGGTACTGCTGAAGGCCTCTGCCGTGGTGCTGCTTCTTCTTCTAACAGAAGTTCCTCCTCTATCTATCTCCGTGCTCGTGGGTTCATTACAAGGTAACCACTTGGAACTCGGCAAAAATGGGATCAAAGTTGAAGCCTTGATCGGAGAAATTCCCAAAACAGTAGAGCTCGAGGAAGAACCCCCCATTGACTGCTTCATCAGGGAGAATAAACCTGTAACTACGGGTGATTGGCTACTCCCGCAGAGAATTTCACTGGCCAACGTCGAACATAAGGACGTGGTAGGATTTCGCCTGGAATTCGAATGATACAAATCCGAGTAATCGGACTCGGGCTTCTGAGAGGGGGTATGCTGGACGAATCGCGATCGGGCCGCGCACTCATTCAGGAATCGTGAGACGGCGCACTTACCCGATGCGGCGGACGAGGAGCAGGTCGAAGCGGCGGCGATGTTGGAGGCAACGGACGCCGAGAAGTTGACCGTGAATCGGATAGCCATGGCGGCGGAGTTAACAAAAGAACGAAAAGGAGAGAGTTTTTCAGGTTTTCAGAGATGAGAGAGAGGGCTCTACGAAGCTAAAGCACCATCGAAATTGCAGAACGGAGCTAATCGCGGAATTAAAGGTTGAATATCAGGGCCCGAGGGGTGAAGGTGGATCGGAACGACAAAACCCTAGAGACGGCGGCCAAAGGGCGGCGTTCCTCCGGAGGACGCGGAGGGGGATTTGCCGTGTGGAGAAAAGTCAACTAGGTGACTTTTGCAATGAATTTGGGGTTTAATAAAACAAAATGTGGAGAGAGCCTTCGCAGAAACTTCGTCCGTTGAATTCATCCAAAGTCCAAACATGTGGACAGAGCCTTAAATATAAGATTTTATGATTTTGCCTTAAAAGGGAAAGATAAATAACACAATATAGAAACTGAATACTATCTCTTTTTTTTTTTTAAATATTATTTTGGCTTATCAATAATTAACCAAATAAATGACGTTTTGAATCTTTTGTACATATTTTTCCATTATTACCCTTATCTAGCTAATAAGTACACTACGTATTTTCTCAATGACGTTTTGAATCTCGACGTCTTTATGTGAGTTGTAGTTTTATCTCTTAGGTTTCTGTTGTGTACAAATTGTTATATTTTACCGAGTACCGAATCAAGGATTCGTTTCCCGGGTCGATCTCTCGAGGAAGGCGGTTCGGAATTTAACTTCGGTATTGATTTCACACAAAAAGAAAATAAAAACCTAAACACTCTAATCAGAAATGAGGAATATATTATCAACTAAGAAATCAACAGCAAACAAAAACGAACCTAAAGTACGAACTAGAAAGCGATAAAGAAGCTAGGGAATCGGGGATAATTTATTCAAGTTCTTAGCAAACCGGGCAATCAATTATTCGGTTCGAGATTGACACTCTTGCTTAAACATCTAGCGGTTCGCTCCCAATAACTCTTCGTAACAAGGGATTGAACATAGACGAACAAGGTCGAGCATACAACACATGTCAATTATCCCAGTCTCAATAACTTTTCGTAACAAGAGACGAGTTATCGACAAGTACGTATTTCAATCCAAAACCTGTAGACTATTCAACTACGAAATCATCTATCTCATGCGAGCCTAGGTCTACGACTTCTCCCCTTTCGGTTCAAAAAAAGTCGCTAATTCAATTAGAAGGTGTTTAATCAACTAATCATATAGAATCAACAAACCCTAACTCGACAATCAATATTCAATTGACATCAATTGCTAGATCGAAGTGTCACCCTTCGATTATATCAAGTTATCAAGCAAGAATTAATTAACCCTAATTAAAACAACTCGCACAAGCATGAACAAATTAAAGCCCAATAATAACGAAATTAATCAAGAACAATCATCCCCTATCCCTAGCAGAAGGAATTAGCTGCGTAAAATAAATTCAACACAATCAATCATCTCTCTCAATTCAATCATTTTCATGAATTAAAAATAAAGAGAAGAACTTACAATAAATCGCAATTCCAAGTGTTGAATCTGAATTACAAGCTTAATTCCTAAGTACTATGAAGAAGAAGAAGAAAAATGGAAAAGAAAGGTGAAGAGAAGAAGAAAAATGATGGAGAAGATGAAAGGGAAGAAGAAAGAGTTCTGTCGTTTTTCCTGACCCTAGGGTTTTCACCCCCAGAAGGGAGATAATCCTCTCTGTCGAAATCCCGATCGCATATTTATAAATGGTAGTAGGTCACGACGTGAGGTAGAGACGCGCGGCGTGGAAGGACTAAGTGCCGCGGCGCGACACGTGCATCACGGCGTGAGGCTGCTATGCTGATCTTCTGTCGCAGCGTGGTAGGAGTCACGAGATGGCTCCGCGGCGTGGAGGGGAGCTGTGTCGCGCCGTGGCAGTGTGGCGCGGCGTGGAGGGAGCTGGCGTCGCGCCGCGGAGGGGCTGCCGCGCCGCGGTGCGCGGGACTACTGCACCACTTCACTTCTCGAGCTCGTTTGGACTCGTCCGAACTCGGAATTGAGTTCCGTTTTTTCCTGTGCGTTTCCAATGAAACCCTCTACGCAATGGTGCTTACAAATCCAATTTATTCTTGAAAACCTATTCTCCCAAAGCTTTTTACTTGAATTTGGCGGCTTCCGTGCGCGACTTCACTTCTCGGGCTCGTTTGGGTTCGTTTGGACTCGGAATTTGATTCCGCTTTTTCCTGTGTGTTCCCAACGAACTCCTCTATCTACTTATGCTTGTCCAACTGACTTTTGCCCAAAATTTGATCTTTCCGAAGCTTTCGACCTACACACCATAAACGAGGAAAAACCGAAAGAAACATACGGAAAACACATAGAAAACCAAAATAGAGATAAACACACAATAAACTATAAAAACGAATAAAAACCAACGAAAAGATCTAAGACGGGGGAAAAAGAAAGATAAAATAAGTACGAAAAATGCAACAAAAATGGGACAAACAGTTTCTAATGGAGCAAGATTCATTTAATTATCTTTTATGTACAAAGAGATACGTCCAATATACGAACGTCGTGCAATCTGTTTTTCTGAAAAAATGACAGCAGGTTTAATGTGTAAATTTGACCTGTTGTAGCCCCTTAACTGCCCGAGTGTCTTTCGCTTGCCTTTGATTATTTCATTTCACATGGTAGTCAAGTTGAATTGTGTTTCGAGACTCCTCTTGGTTATTCAATATTTGTATTTTGGCTAATTCGCTAGATTTTCCTTTCCTTGTGTAGAATAAGATTTCGGATGGAGTTAAGCGTCTTAATTTTTGTTGATCCGTATCTATTTTCGTAAATTTGGGAATATTGTTTCGTGATACTTCTTAGTCGACGCGAATATTTTAGAACGCGGATACCATGGCAACTCTCGAGAGAAACTCGACCACGAGGAAGAAGAAGAGTACATATTCAACTGTGATCGAGGCGAACGTAACTACAGACGGACGAGCTTGGAAGCCAACACCTAGCGGATCGACACGAAGGACTCAGACGCATCTCTCGGAATGACTCGGCATGACAGAAACCCGCGGACATCCAAACCCTGGTCGTGAAGTAATGCATCGCTATGAAGAGAGTCAAGAAGATTCATTTCCATGAAACGAAGTCGACGCATAGCAAGGAGTGTTTACCACCTTAAAATATTATGAAGGATCTTTTAAGGAGGATAGTCAAGTCCGGAGCAAGCACATTGTGAGGTGAAAAGCTGTCTTCATTCTTGACGTTTGTTCATCGTAGTCCTTAGAAACTCTCGTTCTTCTACTCCTGGCGGAGTTTAGAGAGAAATTTTTGTTCTCTTTGGATCTTGGCGATCCTTTGCAAAACACTTGTTCTTGCTTTGAGTCGGGTGTTGCAACCTTGCGTATGTATTAAGACAAGTATTTTGTTTTTCCACTTGTCTTATATCATTTCCTCAAGTTGTGGCTATGTCTTTCAAACTGAGTGATCCCCCGCCGTTTTCGTGGACCTAATGGACCAAGTATTCCATTCACATCCGAGTCAGTATGTCATCGCCCTTATCGATGATATCCTAGTCTAATTTCGAGATGATGTCAAGACAACCAACGGAACCCGACAAGGACCCCGCGATTGTATAGTGATGTCTTTCGTACTGAGCCACCCACTGAAGACTGCTATGAATTGTCTAGTAGTTGTATTTTCACCGATAACATCTCGGCCTATTCCTGAGAACCCCGAGACGTAGTAAAAACATCTGAAGATACGATCAGAGACATTTTAATTGGAGAAACTTCACGCTTGAATCTCGAAGTGTGAAGATTGGGAGGTGAAAAATGAGTTGCGCTCGTTTAAGACTGCTGACACACTTAGCTACCTGAGGAAGAGCTGACGTGACGACCGACGCGATTAGTCGGAAGAGTCGAGGCGAGCTTTCTATTTAATGTCTCGGCAGAAGCTGCTGACTTAGGGAGAATCGTCATGAGAACTCTTGTGAGATTTCGTCTGTTGTTAGATCTGTGGTGCATTGCGTTTTGTGGGTTTGGAAAAAGTAGTGGACTTGGAACTCGGACTGGCACCTCACTATTTTTGAAACTCTTGAACTTTTGAAATTGTGAAAAACTCCCCCACGCTTAAACCTTTGTTCGTCCCGAACAAAAAGAAAAGAAAACAAGACACGAGCATGGATATCGATTCAAATAAGAAGAGTTTCAAAATGTCCAAGTCAACCAGGTCGAATTCCAACGACCGTGAAACCATATGCCTCAAATATAAACTTGGCCTCGAAATGACAAACTCTCAAACGCATAGATTATAATATAGACCTCACTCATTTTCTTACATGAATATATGATAGGTTCTCTCAGATTGGTCAATATTCAAGTTTCAACATATGCTTGCCAGTCGTTTAAATTACTCAGAAACAATCAAAGCTCAAAACTTGCGAATCAAGAGGACTTCACGGGTTGTAATGTAGGCTATTTGGTTCAAGGTAAGGATATATAAAGGAAAAGAAGCTCAAATAAACAATCACAATTCTCGAGCAAATAGATTACTCGAGTTCTCCGCCACTCATCCAGAATAATCGTGACGACGCACTTACTACCCAACCAACATTCCACAAACAACACATAGATGCTCAGAACAAGTTGCAACATCATCACTTAACCTTATTTTTTTTCTTTTTCTCTTTTTTTTTTTTATTTGGAGAGTAACTTTTTCCAAACAAGATTAAATCAAAAGGACAACATTCTGGAGGTGTGAACATTGGAGGTCATCCAAGTTTCCTACAGTAGTTTCCCAATGCTCATTATCTGTCAAAATGAATCGACTAGTAAGAGGAGCAGAATCCATTCGATTCGCCTTGTGAACTCTCAAAGTTTTTTTTTTCTTTTTTTTTTACTGGTCAAGCAAATAACAATGCAACTCAATATCCACCATAATCAGAAATGCCACCAATCCCCCAATCATCACACAAATCAGTCAACAGGTTGACAAGAAAAGGTTTTAAGCTCAAAAGGGCTACTAGTGGAATAAATTTAGGACCAAAGAATAAGGCAGAAGTGAGCTAATCAAACAAAACGCCTCAATCATATTCACAATTTTAAACTCTAATTGATTCCTTTCAAACAAACTCAAGGCAAGTTCTAATCATTCAAGAATATGACCAATATCTCACAAGAAAGAAGAGTAAGGATCAAAATCTCACAAGGTAAATAATATATGTCACTCAAAGCAATCAAGCAAATACCGAGGTAATGATCAACACAACCATCATCACAACTTCCCAATTTCATCAAACATTCATCAACAAATCCTATAATTCACCAATACCATGCTCAGCAACACAAAAACCTAAACCTAGACCAGTCCACCACATAAGCATGCAAAATCCAAATAGACTCCC